TAGCAGAACTGGCTGAACTGCCGCAGCATACACTCGGCCCTTAACAGACAGCCGGATGTCGCGATGATGCCACAAATGTCTCATGTTGACAAATGCCAACCGAGCCTTCTGTATGCGAGCAGACACTTCATCCGTGATGCGTCCACCGGTGAGATGTAGCTGCCCAAATAACAAAACTTATCCACCTCCTCGATTACTTCCCCAGTTAGAGTGACAAAACTTATCCACGTGCTCTATTACTTCCCCAGTTAGAGTGAGGCTGGGTGCTGGACCACTTTATGCGAGCTGACACTTCATCCGTGATGCGTCCACCGGGTGAGATGTAGCTGCCCAAGTACATTCACCTGCTCTATTACTTCTCCAGTTAGAGTGAGGCTCGGTGCTTGGTAAACAGTAGTTACCTGCTCTATTACTTCTCCAGTGAGAGTGAGGCTGTGTGCTGGACCAACCCAGTCTTGTAGTAACATTTTACACTTTCCTCGATTACTTCCCCAGTTAGAGTGACAAAACTTATCCACGTGCTCTATTACTTCCCCAGTTAGAGTGAGGCTGGGTGCTGGACCACAGCGGCGGACTGGAGAAAGCCACGTAGAACCCAGCAGATGACGTGGAGTCGAGGCATGAAGAAATGCACAAAGCGATTGGGTTGGGGTTCAGAAGAGTCCGAAACCGCATGGTTGGAGATTCGGAAGGTCATGGCTGCGAACCGACAGCAATGGCGATCATGCTGTCACTTCTTATCAGTCCAGAATAATTGAAATAGTATGTATGCACAGTTGGGCTGTGTTGACCATAAATGTTCGCCTTCTTTCTCCGTACCTCTAAATAGGCCCAATCCCTGTCTTCTTTACACATTCTCACTTGCCATGTATGCATTATGAGTTTGTCAGTGACCAGTGAATTTCGCTTCACTGTATTATGCTGTTCGATGATAATGATGGACAACAAACGTATACCGATTTTGGTGCCGCCGACTGCCACACTAATTCTTGCCCGACCTCTCTTTTAAATTTTTCAGACTGTTTGATGTTGGTGGTCAACGTTCGGAACGGAAGAAGTGGATTCATTGCTTTGAAGATGTCACAGCCATCATCTTTTGTGTTGCTATGAGCGAATATGATCAGGTGTTGCACGAGGATGAAACAACGGTGCGTGATACTCTGGTTACCCCGAATCAGTCCTTATGATTGTTGTCGTAGCATTCCTTGCAACATCCCCACCGGATTATTTAAACGTTATGTTTTCTATTCGTTTCGTTACTAAGACCAGTTGTTTTCACATCCTCTTTCGTTCACTTGGTAACTATGTGATTCAACTATTATCATTCTATACATACACAGACACAGATACATACATAAATACATGCATGCACACATACGTAGAGCCCTAACCTCCGGCCGATTAGTGCTAATATGAGTTTGGTGCGTTACCGGCACTGCACTCGCAAAGGACCTGCAAAGAAAACGAAATAGGTATTGTGCTCGCTTTTCATTCGTGCGGTCTCATGGGTTCGATCCCCGGTTTGGGCGACGGATTCACACAGGAGCGGAAATAACTATACAATGCCTCTTAACATGCTTTGTTCGCTCTGTCTGCCAACATGAATCGTCGTACATTATCTTTCTCTCACTTTCACCTGTTTCCATTTCAGAATCGGATGCAAGAATCTCTCAAATTGTTCGATTCCATTTGTAACAACAAATGGTTCACAGATACCAGCATCATTCTGTTTTTAAACAAGAAGGATTTGTTCGAAGAGAAGATAAAACGGTCCCCTCTGACCATTTGCTTCCCCGAGTATCCTGGTAAGTTGGATGAAGAGGCCAAAGTCCCAAAATCAGTGCCAAAACTAACAGTTACATTATCACAAGAGAATAGCTAGCTTGGTAGCCATGTAGCTAACAATTTGCCCAACATCCCGGTGAGGTTTTTCTACCGGCCATAGAACTAAAATAAATTCAATCTTTGTTGATATCAATTATCAGGCAGCTAGTATGGAAGGTGTTTATGCATCAGGGAACGATGGGAAATTTTCCAAAGAAACATTGCTTTGACTTGCCCAGAGAGATCAGTTTCTTTTCGTCCAAAAAGTGTCCCTCTTTGTTTTTCTGGAAAACCGGTAGGGTTCCCGTATATTTGTGACACCTCTAACTCAGGAAACTACCATTATCATGTAAAACACAAGTCCTTTCCTTTGGTCCGTGTACCTCTCCCAGGCCGTACTTGTGACGGCCACACCCCGCTAACCGCTTGACAGGCGGGTTCAACCAAGTAAGGCTAATTGGTTTCTCCGGTACACGATGAGTCATGGCTACACTCAGGCATGCAACAAGGTTCAGATCGACTGGGCGGATGATATCGTATTGTTGATTCAAGAAGACGGTTATATTACAAGTGGATCATAGCGAAAATAATCCTGCAGTTTTCTAGTTCATGCTTCGTTGTGTTAAGGCTAAAGCTGCACTCTCAAACAATAATCCGAACGATATTTGATTGAGGTCGTCACTGATAACAAATTTCCTTCGAAACTCTTCACTAAAACTCACTCCTCAAGGGGCTGTCTCGACCTCTTGCAGGACATAGCCGTAATAAAGTAAAAGCAGTCCCAGTCCAATAGGTGATGGGGAATGTTCAAAGCGTCTCATGTTTTTGGGGGTTCTCAGAATGACGTGCTCGGTAGATTCCTTTGAAGTTTCAACGGATTTACCTGAAACTGCATTGGTTTATACTTCAGTTCGGGATGAATGAGCAGATAGAGGTAGGTTTCGGTACATATATATATATAATGTATGTATACTATCCCCTGGAGAGGTCACTCCAGTAAAAAAAAAACACGGTGAGGGGCAGTTTAACGGTCAAAAAAAACCCCGCTAGATGGACGTAGGAGCGGGGTACCTGGGGCTTCCTCTCGA